CTGTCCCCCGCGGCCGCTGCCCGCAGCCTGCCCTGCCGCCTCCGGCCCTGCTCCGTGAGGGGCAGCCGGCCGTCTCCCCTTAATTTTTTCTCATCATCTCTCCGCCTCTGCGCGCACTGCGAGGGGCGCCCGACGCACTGGCGAGTCGCCGCGCCGCTACGATCTGAAAGCTCGCCTGCGCGGATATGTGCCGCTCTCTTCCCCGCCCTCGGCTTCGTTGGGACTCTTATCCTACCTCTCTTCGTCTGGCACTTTGTGAGTCCCTTCGGGTAGTTGGTGGGACACCCCCCCTTGTCCGTCATCCCTCTTCTCGTCCTTCGTCTGACTCTTTTACTGGCCGCCCACGCTTGGGTGGCCTATGGCGCGGCCTCGCTCCTGAGGCCCGCGAGCGCGGGGATCCGTTCGCGGTGTTTTGCTCTACCCGCCTCGTCGTTGCGCGTGAGGCCGCGACTGCTAAACAGTCATTGTGTGTATGTGTGTGTGTTTGTGTGTGCGCGTGCGTGTGTGTGTGTGTGCCTTTGTGTGTGTGTTTGGGAGTATGTGTGTGTGTGAATATGTGGATGAGTGTGGATGTGTGTGTGTGTGTGCGTGCGTGCGTGCGTGTGTGTGTGTGTGTGTAACTGTGTGTAAGTGTGTGTAAGTGTGTGTAAGTGTGTGTGTAAGTGTGTGTAAGTGTGTGTAAGTGTGTGTGTGTGTGTCTCTCTCTCTTTTGCCCCCTGCGCCTCCGCCCCCCTTCTTTTCCGCTTCTCCGCCACAGGGACTCGCTGGTGGGCTCTTTGGAGGCAGGGCCCCCCTCAGACGGGCCCTCGCGGCTTCCCAGTCCTAGAAGCCAGGAGGGCTTCTAAGAAGGCCACCGCCCTTCTCAGAACACCTCTCCCGCCATCGCAGAAGGCCGCCCCCCCGCGCGCCACCCCACTGTGCGCGCCGCAATATTGTGTTAGCATGAACGGAGCGGTTCCTGCAATATTGTCTTCCGAGCTTCCCACCCACCACGGGGGGACATGGACATCGTACCACGTCCGGGAAAAAACTTTCGAAACAAGAAGGGAATACGTTCCAGAGGTTCTTCGTCAATTGCGTCCTCTTCCCCCCTCTCGTGGGCGCCGTGCGCCAGTTTGCGGCGTCCAGCTGCCGGTGGAGCACCGGCAAGGGCAAGCGGGGCACAGGGCGCGTCGTCGTGGCCAAGGACCGTCCCCCTTTATCTCTGCTTTCTCTCGCTTTCTCTCTCTCTCTCTCTCTTTCTGCCCTCTCTTTCTCTCTCCCGCGCCCAAGGTCCAGCAAGTCATGCGGGAGCTAAACCAGCTTGTCTGGCTGATGCTCTGGTTTGTGGCTTTGTTCTCAGGCGAGGCTTCAGCGCCGCTCAGCGATGCGCCGCCAACCAAACCTGCAGGGTGGGCCTCTCAGCTTTGGTGTCAGCTTCAGATGTTGGCGCACCTCGAGGCGCTTTCAGCGCCTGTTATGTTTTCTCGATGTATCTCTCTCTCTCCCTCTCTCTCCCTCTCTCGCTCTCTATCGCTCTCTCTAGCTCGCTCTCTCTTTCTCTTTCTCTGATTGTGTCTTTCTCGATCTATCTCTGGTAATGGCGCGTCGTGGCCCCGCGGCACCTCGCTCGCTCTCTCGGCTGGCGGCGCGCACGGGTGGTGGTGGTGCTTGTGGGGCAGCCTTCTCAGAGAGCGGGGGAGCTGCTCGGATCATCGCCGATGTTGCTGATGCATCGGCGATGCGGCACGATCCTCCAACCCATCTGCTCCGACCCTACAGTCGACCCGCACAGTGAGGAGGAGCAACCTTCTCAAGGGTACCCCTGCACCCTTGCCTCCTCGGCCCCTCCCTGGCCGCCTTCGCTGGCTGCGCTCCGCCCGCAGAGTGTCGACATTGCCCTCCAAGGCCCTTGCATCCTTAGCGTGCGTTCTTACTATACGGCGTGACTTTCTTTGGGAGGCCTCCATTAGAAGGCGGGGGCTTCTTGAGAGGACCCCAGTGGTTCCAAAAGGCCTTCCCAAGCGCGTCTGAGCCCTGCTCAGAAGGCCTCCTTCAAAGCTCCCCCCCGCCTTCTCTCTGCGGGCCGCTCCCCTCGCCCAGCCCCCCGGGCCTCTTGTCGGTGTCCCTGCCGGTCCCATCGAGCCGATTTGGCCGGCCCGATTTGGTTGGATTCCGGCCTGCTGGGTTCTGGCCGGCCCGATTTGGTCTATATAACCCTCCGGGCGCCCACGCCGTGAGCAAGAACCATCAGGGGCGTCGAGGGTCCGCGGGAGCCGGGAGGAGGGGGAGGAGGGGGAGGAGGGGGAGTTGTAGTCGCCGATTGGTTCTGGTCGGCCCGATTTGGTTGGATTCCGATGTTCCGATGCGGCCTGATGTTAGAAACGGTTTTGTTGTGCATCCCGTTGGGCGTCGCGTAATGGGGGGCGGCAAATAGGGGGGGGAGCGAGGGCTGCAGACGAGGGGCTGGTGGGGCCCGAGACGTGCACCTTTCTCTTCCCCCCCCCCCACGGTATCGCCCCATGGAGCGGCGCCCGGGCTGCCGGCACGGCTCTGCTGTGCATCCGTGCGCACCCGATCCGACTCGGCTCCGACTCGGTGCCGGTGCAGCCCTGTCGCGGGCACCGCCAGGAGCCGATGTCTCTTGTTCGATGTGGACTGATCCTGCGCTCCCTCGGGGTGCTCCGTGAGGGCAGAGGGGGGGGCGGACCCCGAGGCTTGGCTCACTGGCCCTCTGCCCGTCTGCTCTCGTCTGCCTTCTCGCCATACCAATCCCTCCCCTTCTCGATCCACGCTCCTCAGTCTCTCGCAGCTGCTACTGCTACTGTGATGTCTCACGATGTGGGAATGCTGCGGGAAGCAAGAATATAACCACTGCCAGAAGAAGTACCACCATGACCCAGCATAAGGCTGTACGTACCATCCATTGCTGGCAGTGGTTTCGTCCCAACGCTGGACGTACCATCCATTGTTGGCAGTTGCTTCATCCCCGTTGTTTCGGAGAGCGTATCCTTCTCCTCAGCATCATCATCACCACCACCATCATCATCATCATCATCATCATCATCATCATCATCATCATCATCATCATCATCATCATCATCATCATCATCATCATCATCATCGACATCGACATCGACATCGACATCAGCATCACATCCATCATTATCACCAGGGTCGTCTTCACCATCAGCATCAGCATCGGCATCAGCATCATCATCATCATCCTCATCCTCATCCTCATCATCATCATCATCATCATCATCATCATCCTCATCATCATCATCATCATCATCATCATCATCATCATCATCATCATCATTGTCATTATCATCATCATCATCATCATCATCATCATCATCATCATTACCATCATCATCATCATCACCACCATGATCCGCATCTTCATCTCCATCACCATCATTAGCAACGGCGTCCTCACCATCGTCGCAATTGTCATCATCAGCAGCATCATCACCATCTTCGTCAGTATCACAATTGCCATCATCACCATTCTTTCCAACCTCAGGTCGTACGCTTTGTGCTCCTCCATCCTGCCTTTTCCCTTCCGTATCCCCCGTCCCCTCGCCCCTGCCCTCCCCAGCTCCTCCGTCGGCCTACACACACACGCACACGCACACGCACACGCGCACGCACACGCGCACGCACACACGCGCGCACACACACACACACATACACACAAACACACACACACACACAAACACACACACACACACCACACGCGCACACGCACACACACTCACACACGCACACACGCACACGCACACACACGTAGCCATTTTGGCTCAAGTCTGCCTTGGGCGCCAGGCAGGGGGCGGGGCGCCTCTCCCAAGCCCCGTCATCTCGGCGGGCGCAGGGAGTGGCTCTCTCTTTCCCCTGTCCGTGTCGCGGCCCCTGCCATGGAGGAGACGTGCGATGGCAGCTAGGTTGGGCTCGGGGGACTGCCCGTGGTGTGGCGACCCAGCACGCGCCGCGCCCAGGAGGAGGCGGACCTAGGCGCGTCGGCGGCGCGAAGGGCGGCGCGGCGCATGCCGCGGCCGCTTTGCCTGGGTCGTGGCAGTACCGCGAGCGCGCCGCGAGGCCTGCCCTGCGACTCGCAGCGGCAGGCGCCCGCGTGCCAGGCAGCGCCAGGCGCCGCACGAATGCGGCCTGGCACGCTGCTGTGGCGCCGGCGGCGGGCTTCGCGCGGGTCTGCGACGCCGCCATCTCGGTGGCGGCGAGCGGTACCCCGACCCCATCCACCCCTCCAGCATTGCCGCGGCAGGTGGAGGCGACCACGCCTACCAAGTTGCGGAAGGTGGCGCCGCTTTGGCCCGAGGGCTGGCTGGCGCGGGAAGTCGAGGGGAAGGGGCAGGGCGACGACGACGACGACGACGGGAGCGAGGCCTTCGCGCAGCCGGCGGTGGAGCCGCTCATGGGCGCCTTCCTGGGCCACGGGCCCGTGCAGGAGGCGACGGAGGAGTCGCTCGCCACTGACATGGCCATAGACGACGAGCACGGGATGCCCATCGAGGAGGGCTTCGAGGACCAGGCCCCCGATGACGAGGAGGAGAAGACGGATGGCGAGGCTTCGGTGACGGGCGTTCTCAGGGCGCCATCGGAGGTGCAGATGGTGGACTTTCTGTCGGAGGGCATGCAGCCCCTCGACGCGGAGGCCCGCGAGAGCCAGGGTTCGGACGTCCAGGCCGTCGCGGGCACGCTGGCCACGGGGAATGGCTCCAAGCAGGTTCAGGTCCCTTCCGCGCGCATGTCTGCGGCAGGCGGAGATCACTTTCGAGGTCGACTTCAGCGGCTGCTTGGTCATCGGAGCGCAGGTGTCGGCGGAGGTCCCCTGCGAGCACGTCTTCGACTTGCTGGAGGGCGGCTGCGTCGTGGTCCCCAGCAGGCGCCTGCGGGACAGGGCGCTGCCCGCTGCCTGGATCACCGCTGCCGCCGCAAAGGAGCTGAGGCCGCCGCGGTACAGCCAGCCCTTCGCGAGGCGCCTGGCTCGGCTGGCCTGAGAGGAGCCCTGGACAGACGGCCTCGGCATGGATGCCGCCAAGGCCGACGAGCACTACCTGCGCTCTCGCCTGCACGCCTGGTGGCTCATGGTCCGTCGGGGGACCTCCTCTCACGGTACGTCCGAGGGCGGCTTGGGGGCGTTGGAGGCCACCGAGGATATCGACGAGGAGGAGTCGCCAGGATCTGATGGACAGCATCTCGGCTCCGAGGCCCCAGGAGACGTCTCGCCGTACCCCGGCAGCGACGGCGACGATTGCGACGGCCCCCTCAACGAAGCCTGGGCGCAGGGGCGGGCCGAGCCGCACGTCGCGTCTCCGCCTCCGCTTCCGCATTCGGGCGGGCCGCATACGTGGGCCCAGGGCCAAACGCGGGAGCAGCTGGAGGCTCTGGAGGAGAGTTTCAATCGAGTCTTGTACGGGGCGGCACGGTATGGCGTTGACCTGGGTGCCCTCTGAGACATCGTGAGTGCCAGCTGCGCGGATGGCCTCTATTCGGCGCGCCTCCCTTGAGGGGCGTCCCGCCTCCGCTCATGGGGCCGTGCGGCCAAAGGCCGCCACGGCACGGCTTGAAATCCTCAGTGCGGGACGGGGCTCCCGCGCACCCGACTTCGGCCCCCGCCCTGAGGTCGGCCCGCGGAGCCGTGCGAGGTTCGGCAGGTGTCGGGCGGCCGCTCGAGAGCCTCTCGCGCCCGACGACCGCGGCGAGGCGCTGACGCCCCGCGGCGACAAGACACACAACACACAACACACAACACACAACACACAACACACACACAACACACACACACAACACACACACCACACACAACACGCTTAACACACACAACACACAACACAGAACACACACACAACACACACACACAACACACACAACGCACGACACACACGACACACACGACACACACGACACACACAACGCACACAACACACACAACACACACAACACACACAGACACACACACAACACACAACACACACACACACCACACACCACACACCACACACAACACACACAACGCACAACACACACACAACACCACACACAACACCACACACAACACACAACACACACACACCACACACAACACACACAACACACACAACACACAACACACACAACACACACACACACACACGCGCACACACGCGCACACACGCACACGCGCACACGCACACACGCACACACGCACACACGCACATATGCACACACACGCACACACGCACACACGCACACACGCACACACGCACACACGCACACACGCACACACGCACACACGCACACACGCACACACACACACACACATACACACATACACACACATACACACACGCACACACACACATACACACACGCCGACGGGCGCGAGGACATCGGACTGGTGGAGACATACACCGTGGAGGCGCCCGTCTTGTGTTTTGGCCACCCCTCCTGGGCAACGCCACTCTTGAGTCGGCGACGAAGTAAGGCGGGCTCAGGTTCAGGGGGGGATGCATCGACCCTTTCATTGCCCATCCATCGCCGCTGGGGGGCCGAAAGCCTTTGCCCAGCCAAGCAAAGTACTGTTTCGCCATCGGGGGCCTATCGTCGATGTATGGGCGATGCGTCGCCGATTGCAGGTCGATGTTTCCCCCTTTGGGCCAGTACCCCCCCGTACCTTTGCCCCTCGGACGCCGCGACAAAGTTGCAGCATCGCCGGCGGCCACGAACCCGGACATCCAAAGAAAATTCGTATTTAAATCTTGGCGTTTTAGGGCCTGTTATCTGGCCGCGCCGCCATCAAGCCTTTGACCTGGGAAACACAACTACACTTGAGTAGGTGTCGGGAGCGTCTTAGTCGTAGACCAGAGAAGAAAACAAATCGCACGATGTCTGGGACGGATCCCAGGACCCCATCTCTCCGCGGCGCTTCCCCGATCATAATCGGTCCGCGACGGGCCCGAGGCCTGACCGAACCTGGGCCAAAACGTCTGGCGTGAAAATGCTTCAGGAGGGGAACAACACAGATACAATGAATCGTCGATTGCCCTGAAAATGTGGGAAACTATGGACAATGGGGGGGAAGACGAATACCCAGAAAATATTGGAAAACATGGGGAGTCCTGGGATTTGTGTGTACTTCTTTGTATGTCCCTGGGCCCTTTTACATGTTGCAACGCCCAGATCTCAGGGGCCGTCGTCCGTCGTCCGTCTTCGCCGTCCGCTGCCGCCCTTCGCCGCCGCCGGCTGCCGACCGCCCCCGCCGACCGCCCACGCCGCCTGCGTGCGCGTTCCAGACACAACCTCCGATGTCGTCTTGTTTCGATCCCCAGCCCCAGAGGTTTCGACCCTTTCCTCGGAGACCCATGCTGGAATGCGCCCGAACTGCAAAAACCACCATCATCGACGGGGTCGCTGCCGCCGCCGCCTGCCTCCCGCCGCGGCTCGCCGCCCGCCGCCGTCGCGTCGCCGCTACTGCCGCTGCCGCCTGCCGCCCGTCCAGCCTCGCGCGCGCCGCCGCCGCTGCCGCCGCCCGCCTGCCGCCCGTCCGTCCATCGCGCGCACGCGCGCGCCCGGCGCAGGTGTCCTTCTTCGGCGCGCCCGCCCGCGCGCCCGCCGCTGGCGCGGCGCCCGCCCCCGGGGGCCGCCGGCCGCCGTCGGCGCGCCCGCCGTCGGTGCCGCCGCCGCCCGGCGGGGCGGGCGCCGCGCTCGGCGGTCGACGGCCGCCCTCGGCATGCCTGGCGCGGCGGTCGCCGAGCGGCGAGGAGGCGGGCGCCGGCAGGGGAGGGGCATCTCTCTCTCGGACGTGTGCATGCTGTCCTCGGCGAGGACAGGGGAGGAGCATCTCGGATCACCCTCCTGCGGAGCGCGCAGAGCGGAAACGTGCACGGGGAATGGGCGCCCGAGCAATGGCGAGAGCGGGTGCGTGGGTCGCCTGCAGGGTGGGTGGGTTCTTGGTTTCTTCTGACCCTCATTGTGCACGGCATCTCGCCTCTCGGCCTCCGGTCCCATCGTCGACGATGCTCGCTCGATGCTGCACCGTAGACAATTTCGCCTGAGGAGCCCGCAGGGGGCGAAAAGCATTGCCTTTTCCTCTTCTTACCTGAGGCCCGATCCAGCACAAGTCCCGCGAAGCAACACACAAGGCTCTGGATGTTTGGAGGGAGGGCTGCATCAGTTTTTGGTGCAGGGGACGTTTCGCGCTCCCCGCGGAGTGCTCCTTTGCCAAATGTCTGCGACGGCTCGCATGCATTGGGATGGCGGCAAGGCAAGCAACAACGTTCCAGCCGCGACCTCCCCAGTCGTCCCAATCGAGGAAGAGGACACGGCACAGGCATAAACTCTCGGAGATTCGCACAGATTCCGGGGATCGGCGCTGGGCCCTTTTGGAGGCGCATCTGGTGCCTCCCCTGGCGCACCCTGGGCGCCAGAAGGGCGGTTCAGCGTCGATCCAAGAATTCCGCGCGGACATCCGAAAGCTTATGTTTATGCAGCTGTTTATTATTCTTTTCCTTTCCCTCGTCTTCCTGGCGTTTCTCGGCACCTACAAGGACTTCACCTCCAGCTGGTGGCCCCGCTGCTCGGACGCAGCTGCATGCACCTCCTCGGCACCCCCGCGCTGGCCTTTACGGTCTAATCGGGCACCGTGTTTTCCGTCTCGCCGTATCCTCTCTTCGCTGTCGTGCCTGTATTCGCTTCCGGTATAGCCCACCGCTCGCTGTCACGGTCGCTGGACCGCGCCCGCGGACGTAAAAGGTCTTCTATTCCCGCTGCCTTCCCTCGGCACGATCGACATGGGCTCGTTCGAGTTTCGAGGTTCGAAAACGTGTTCGGATCAGGGCTCGTGGCTCCAATTTGGGATGCGTTCCAGCAGCTGCACCCCGCCGAGAGCGTTCCAGGACTGCCAGGATCGTCCTGCACGGCCGCCCGAGGACCGAGTTTGACCCGATAGCCACCCCGTGGACAGGCTCTTTCTTTTTCCCAAAGGTTTCCGGGCGTTTTCAAAAGACTCCTTTCCCGGGGCCAGGGTGGTTTCCATCACTTCCTCCTCGTCGAGAGCGCTCCTGTGGCGCCAGCTTCGTCTGGAAGGCCGCCGGAGAGCCGACGCAGGAGCCGAATCTCACGGGCAATGTCACGGGGGGGATTGCTTCTGTGGAAGACGTACCGACCCCCCATCGCCCATTCATCGCCAATGCGGGCCCGATAGACCCGCTTTGCAGTGGAACTTGCAGATTCGCCACTGGGGCCCTGTCGCCGTTGCATCGGGGATGTATCGCCGTGTGCAGGTCGACATTTCATTCCCCTGAGCCGCTCCCCTCCGCATCGGTGCCATTCCCGCTGATTTTGTCAATTTGAGCTCCCCGCGGGAAGTGCCCAGTTGAGCCACCATCGCCAGCCCACAAGCGGCCGCTGTCAGTTTTTGGACAGAATAGGCTGGTGGGAATCGTATCCCATAGTCTCCTTTCCCCTCTCGGGCGTGCCCATTCCCGCCCAGATCTCCGACGATGCTGTTTGTCTCTGTTCTCCGTCGTCGTCCCTTTGTTTCGGCATCCGGGGCCCGCTCTCCGGCCCCCGGACCCTCACCAGCAGAGATCCAGGACTCGGACTGACTCGTGGGGGAGGGGCCGGAGAGCTGCGAGCCCGCGGGTTGGAGCAGTCGTGCAGGAGGATGCCAGGGTTCCCGCGCCAGAGAAACGATCATGAACCTGCGAAAATCTTGTGTTTATGCCAGTTTTGATGTTCCACCCACCGAGTGCAACCGTCGTCCGTCGGCCAATTTCGGTGCAAAGGAAGCCGAGTAGCACATAGAGAACGAACTCCAGCTCCACCGAAGTTCGACGTCAGGAAATATGTAACATCGGCAGCAAGCCACGACTAGATCCATCTGCGTGTGGCATCTCTCAGGCCGGATGCATCCGCGAGGGCGCGGGGAGCCCCAAATCAGGCGAGAACGCCCAGAGTGGAAATTCTCTTCGCCCAGATCTCAGGGCCAGTCTCCTCGAACTGCGAGTGGGATGCTTTT